TGATGGGCCTGTTCATTTAGAAAGCTAATGAATTCTTTGACAGAAGTTGCCTAATGGATACTAAAAGAGTACTTTTAGAATTTAAAACTAATGATTTTAAATTTTGAACAAAATTTTGTTTCAACAAGAGCCTGAAGAAACAAAACTCCTGATCCATTAAAATTCTTTTTTCTTATTTCAGAAGCACACTTATTAGGTTTGAAATTAGAAATTTTAGTTTCTTCTTAGAGAAATAACTGAGTCATTCTGAGGTACTTGGTTTTGTGTGCTAAAAAACCAAGTTCTGTCTGGCCTTGTGCCTTTTTAAAAAAAAAAAAACAGTAAAGGACATTGTTTACTAGTAAGTTAATGTTTACAAGATATCACTGAAAATTATGTTATTTCATAAACATCTTGGCAGATATAGCCACATAGGCTTGCTGATAGCCAGCCTGAAACAGTCCTGTAAACGTCTTTCTTGATGTAACGGCTTCTTTATTTTAAGTAGAAAAAACAGAAAAAGATTGGAAGGCATTCCTTGCCCGTGTGTGAACGTGGCTGTAAGACTAGTAGTTCACAGGGTGACTGATGTTTTTATTTAGTACTTACTGTGACAGTGCAGCTGAAAGAGCACCTGGTTTGGAATCACTGCTCTGGGTTTGAATCCTAGCATTGCCGGTAGGAATTTTGTGACCAAGGGAAAGTTTCTTCTCTCTGAACCTCAGTTTCCTTATCTGTAAAATTAGAATAATAGCACCTACTTAAGGGTTTTGCGATAGATAAACAGAAAGTACTTTCCCTTAGGTAGGACTTAAGCTAATTATAGCTATTCATCTTAACTTTAGCTTTCTACCTATGGGGCTTTGTGCTGGTGTCTGGACCTTACTGTGTTTAATATGCTGGGCCAGAAAGCCCCACAAATCCAAAGATGAATTCACTGATTTTACTCTCCAGGAGCTAACTGTTGGGAACACAGTGACTAATAAAACAGAATATTTGTCATAGGAAAGCAGTCAGAGGGAAGAACATCCTTGACAAAACAAAAAAATTTTTTTTGTCTTTTTCAGTTTTGTTTTTGAAATAATTTATTCAGATAGTCCATAATTCAAAAAATAAAATATAGCAAAATGTCCTATATTCTCTCCGTCACCCAATATTGCCCATTTGTCTTTTCAGAGATCATCCATATGCAAGTAAATAATGTGTGTGCTCCCCCCCCCCTTGTACAAATGGTCACATAGTATACAAACTGCCCCAAATCCTGTTCTCTACTTGACTGTCCCTCTGCCATCTATTTCCTAGGTCACCTACTATGTCAGTTGGCTTTTTATAAGCACATAAAGACCTTCATATATTAAACAAATTATAAAACATTTTACATGTAGATGCTTATCTGTTAACCATTTAGTGTACTGATTCTATTTCAAGGTCACACATGACCTTTTAAACAATGCCTTTATTTAAATGGGAAAGTTCATTTGAATAAGTGAAAACTATCAAATAATGTGACAGGAAGTTGGTATTTGAACTGCCTTATTTCCTTTTTAGCTCCATTTTACAAGTGTTAGTTAAATGACCAAGATGTATATAGAGACAAGCAAATGAGTTTAGTCTGAATTAAGCTTTGCTTCATTGAAATTGCTAAACAGACAACTTTCAGTAATTATTTTGTCCAAAAAAGTATCTAAATTTTTTTTTTCTCATGATAAAGAACCATGTCCATTTAGTCATTTTTTTAAAGGTGGGGAAATTCTTTTATATATGTATTTGATTTGAGACAGGGTCTTCTAGACTATTCTGTAATTCATTATGTAGCCCAGGCTGGCCTCAAATTTGAAATCCTCCTTCCTCAGCCTTTTGCAGCTTTTGGGGTTTGGAGATTGCAGTATTTTGATGATTTTCTAGTATTTCTTAGTATAATTAATGAGTTTTGAATTTTTTACTTAAATAGTATGTCATGTATGTAACTTTCTATTGAGACTTGTCTGAATTTTTTTTACTGTTGGAAGTCTAATCAATTGGGCTAAGTAATATACATTTCAACCCAAGTACAAAACAAGCTTCAGCACCTCTTTTTTCCTTTTTTGGCTCTTCAAAGCAGCATTAAACTGTCGTACATTTTAAATATACTTGCTATATGTTTTCTAAGGGACATGCCCCGCTTTTTTTTTTATTCATTAAATGACATTTTAAATATACTTGCTATATGTTTTCTAAGGGACATGCCCCGCTTTTTTTTTTATTCATTAAATGACATTTTAAATATACTTGCTATATGTTTTCTAAGGGACATGCCCCACTTTTTTTTTTTATTCATTAAATAAAGCTGTCATGGTCTACTTCATTCTTTTGTTTGTAGGCTTAAATTGAGAATTACTGTGGTAACCATGCAAGCTAAAGTTGTTGTTTTTGTTTGTTTGTTTGTTTGTTTGTTTGTTTTTTGAGACAGGGTCTCCTTGTAGCCCCAGTTTGCCTGGATCTCACTGTGTAGACCAGGCTGGCCTGGATCTCACAGAGGTCCTGCTTCTGCCTCCTGAGCTCTGGGACCTAAAGCACCACCACACCTGACTTCAAGCTGAAGTTTTTATAAGACTTATTGTCATTTGGAGGTTTTCTTGGTATTTGTTATGTAATAATTAATGTGCTATTTTTGCCTGCTAAATGATTAAGGTAAGCACAGAGCATTTATCCTCAGAGATCTAAGCAGTGGGAATGGGGTACATAATTGAAATGGTGAAGGTGGAAGGCTTTCCTTCTGAATCCTATTTGCAGGCTACCAGTGACCTAAATGATTGCTTAGGGTGTCATATAATCAATGAGCTGTCCCCTGGGGTGAAATCAAGGATCATTGAACTACAACAAGCTGATAGTGTAGACAGTTATTTGTTAATTCTTCTTTCATTTTAATATGCCTCATTAGCCCTATTATTTTATGCACATATACATGCTGAAGTTGAGGGACGTATGAACATTCCACACTGTTAAATTTGAGATTAAACTTTGGATAAAGGTAGCCATTTAATTTTTCT